TTCCGAGAAATTTTAATGAAATCTGGCATGACATTAAGAAATAATATCGAGGCGAGGAATTATCGCTGTACAAAGTCATTACGCTTTCCCTAATAAAATCCTCGAACAATGGGCCGATCCGGATTAATGTTTCCCCAATTACATAATATCCAGTTGGAATTAGAAAATTTTCATTATGAATTGAAGCCACTAAAATTTATGGATTTTCACGATAAGCTACTAATTCCGCAGTACTTTGTTTCGGGTCTATACTAATTATTATATGTACAGAGTATATATACATCTAAAATGAAATGAATTTTATAATATAAATAAATACAAACAATTTTGTGTTTGATAAGCGAATATACATTAATAAATTAATGAATTTCTCATCTTTCCCAAAAACGTACTTTATTTTTATCATTATAAAAAGAATGCAAAAAATAAATATTTTTTTTACAAATATATCTCAAATTATATTATATTATTTTTGTGTTAATAAAATAATTTGATGAAACTATACTTATGATTCAAGTGTTGTTTTGGAACATTATTATTTCTTTATTCGCATTTACGTACCTAATGTTAATTTGGACGCGCACTTTGTTGACAGATTCACATATTTATATATTATTTTATGCATACATTGATTCTATATTTTTCTTTAATCGAGTTTTAGAAAAAACACAAGTATATATGATAGTAAATTCGTTCAATTTTTTTATACATTTCTTAGTTAAATCCAAATGTTTCTATATCATTTTAAGTGTATGATTAAAATGATATGGAAACATTACGATTTAACTTTTCTTTAAAAGAGATTTAGAAAAAAAACGCATATATATATAAACGACATTATGGTAAATTAATTAAATGCTTTTTGGTACATGAGGTTAACATGGACGATTTAATGGATAATTTAATTTTATCCGAAACTAATTTGTCGTGTCCCAGGGATGAAAATCTGGACATAGTGGAATATCTTCTTCTGGTGTTGTCGTTGTGGAGTCTCAGTTGTAGGAATTAAATAATTCAATTGGTTTAAAACAAGTTTATTATAATAATTGGTACTCTTGGGGTTGTTTCCAAGACAATGTAGATACTTTTAGAGATTGACTAAGACTAATTACAAATATTTATTGTACTAACAAAGTTAATTCGTATTAATATGGACAGGGTGGGAGTTTGAGGAGTAACGCACGTTTTGAGAAGACGCTTCGCTTCAGGTTACTGTAGGATCTGTCTATTCTGCAGTTTGGTCTTCAGTTGAAAATACGAAGAAGCGCCGCAAACGTTCTATGTCTTCTGTGGTATCTGTCAGCGGTATCCAAACTTTAGTGGTTGGACACAACACCTCCGCCGTTGATGTAGAGGAAGCTGCAAAGAATGCTTGATATGCTTGTTAATAAGCGGAATAATTTCTGATGATATCATTAGACATTATTTCTGGAGTAACCATAACAACCTTTTCTTAATGTAATGATACCTTTGCCCAAAATTTGCATGTTTGTATTTTTTTGTCACATGTTATGATTAGTATTTATGTATTTATTGTTACAAATAATAAATGAATTTTTGTTCTCCAGCTGTATCCTAATTTTAGATAACACACGTATAAATGACATTGCTTTACCGATCGTACATTTATTTATTATATTAGTGTCTATTAATTCGTACTAACGTACTTAACGTTCATATGGACGTACACTCTATCATCAGGTCTACAGATTTCAATTTCATATTTAATTCAATTTAAAGTTTCAGAATAAAAAATCACATGTATAAATGACATTATCGTACGTTTCTTCATTCGTTCTAACGTACTGTATCGTTTATCGCTTGATCGATAAGTTGATATACACAAAAGTACGTAACAATGAATTTGATCATATGAGGATGTACGTTAAGTGATAATGTAACTCTTACATGAAATCAAGTAATTTACAAATATATTTCTGCAATTATCTAACTAAAATTAGATTCATTTTTTAAATTTAAGAATTATCAAAGTATAATAATATTTATTAGTTACAATGCAACCAAAAGGCTTTCAAATAAAATTATTGTATTTTCAATATTTCATATAATAGTATAGATTTTCTTTTGTAAATTCGCAATTAAATTTTATCGTTAATTGCAATTAGCTATGAATTTAATCGACATACAAATTAATAATATAATACAGAATTCAAATAATTATGTCAAAATCTATAACGCATAAAATCACTCGTCAATTAGGTTAATCGAATCAAGAATTGAATGGAGTTTTGTTGTAATCCTTTTTCCATTGCGTTAATACCGTAATTTGCTTAATTGCATTTCATTAATTGCACCTGCATGTTCACATCTGCCAATCGGTGGCAATAAATATGTTGCTTCATTATAACGATATATCGGTTAATCAATTAGTTATGATTGTTCGGTATAATTATAGGATTTAATTACGTATTGGAACCACTAAATTCTAGTGGCAATAAAGTTACATGGACCAAAGCCTGTTCCAACCCCATCCCATATATATATAGATATAGATTTCGGGGTCGGACATAAAATATATATATGACCTAAATATATATTTCGTCCTGTATTTTCCAGAGAGAAGTACAAAAGGGATCTTATTAAGCTGCCAGTCCCACGTTTGAATGTACCGAAATATTGTTATTTATATTATACACGTTTTCCTCGACTTCGTTTCTTCTCCTTTCTCAGTTTCTCTTATTTTCAAGTCCTCAGTTTCTTATTTCCTTTTTGCTGCTGACAATCATCGTATCCAACGGTCTTATTATATATGTATATATGCGAGCCACGCAGAAAAACATTGCACGCTCAAAATTGACGTCGCAACGCCCAACTAGAGAATTGCGTAATTGTCTGAGCCCGTCAAGTGCGTTTCTCTCTCTCACAGCCAGACGCAGAACACTTCAGGATGTTCCAAGGATCCTTCCGAGGCGCAACGCGAACGTCAGAGATTAACGCAGAAATATAATTAACCCTATTTTCCGTGGAATCCCGATTTTTCCATCCCGCTCATCCCTTTATAAATCAGGGGATGATAATATATTTTGCTGCTACTGCTGCGGTCGCATCACCGCACCAGAATTCTCCACTCCCTCGTCTGCAACTTTCCGAATCCAATTTCAGCCATCCTGAATACTCTTTCTTCCATTTTTGCTATAATTTATCTCCGAAGGATAGGGATTCCGCTCCACGATAATTATTCAGGTAGCATTTTGGGAAAACATTCCTTACAGTTGTTTATTTGCTTTTTTTTTATTCATATTATTTGCTAGTCCCCTCTTCTTTCAGCTGTAAAAAAAAATACATTAGCGAATGAAAAATCGCTGACGCTTTTGCTCGAGAAGAAAAACGTAAGAATATCTTTCACTCAGAGCTGTAACGTCTGTAGTTAATGAAATACCATTATTCACATTTGGGCGCCTTCTTTTCGCTTTTTAGGTAGTAAAATATGCAATTGATGAAATCTGTTAGTGTAATGTGAACAAATGGATATTTTACAAGTAGACAAAATCTTATCTTTTATGGTATAACTATAGCTATAGAGTAGGCGCTATTACGGACCGATGATTCGGCGCATATATTGTTGCACAATCGTAACATTGCGGAGCATCCTTGCGAGCATTCCTGCATGAGGGGATTCTGCACATAACATACGTACATTAATTCTCTATAGACTATTTAGTGATACTCAAAATGTTAAACCTAAATTTGCTTGAAAGAGCAAATAGCTTGGTATAGGTCTTCAATTCGATTCAGATCCTTGGATTTATATCAAACAAGACATATATCAAACGAAATTTTCCCATAAGAAATATAGTGAAACTTATTAATCCGTGAAAAATAATCTTATTGTTATTGCCATATTAGACATCATGGGTGTTATTTGAAATAATGTAATCCCTACTTAATAATAATAGTAAATAATAGTAAAATTCAGAAATTAAAAAGCAATTAGATAAATAAGTAAAAATTTAATTTTGATCTTTGGTTTGATCTTTACTAAAAATCTATGTCAAGAACTTTTCTTCTGCTCATTTTGTCTGATCATTTCAGTAATGAAATACTTATTTTTAAATACAAGAAAAATAATAAATTTTAATTTAATAAAAATTAAATTTATTGAATTCTGTGGAATAATTAAATTATATTTTTCACAAAATTGACGTATATTTCATTTGTTATACAATATTTTGAGTAAACCAATATAAACTTAAATTAAAACTTTAACAAAATACACAAAAATGTATACCTCAAACCTAAAAGACGTACAGAATTGACCTATATTTAATTATATTAGAACTGAAAATGTTATAATTAATATAATATTTCATACATTTTTATAGATAATTTTTGTAAAAAAATCAGAAAAAACTTATCAAATATTGTTGTAAATTGTGTATACGGGCCCAAAGACAATCTTATAAAAAATTCAATCGTAGATGGGTCATATTTACAAGATTTGGGCATTCAATTAAAATTTTTATTCTCATTGTTAATAATCTATTGTTATCTCTAATTTAAGGCAATCTTTGGAAGAAACCACTAATTATTATTACATTTTGTTCTTTTATACTTAATAGTAATAGGATTTATGTAATCTATTTTACGAAAGAAATTCAGTTATATGTTGTTATTCAACAATTTTAATTAAAAATTTTATTGCGTAAGTCTGTTAGTAAACAAAATAAAAGACTAAAACAAACTGAAAAAAATGTAATCATTTTTTGTTCCTGAACTTGATCGATTTGTAAATTGCTATTGGAAATGGGCCCCTTAATTGGGTCTTGCAATCGGGTCGTTTGTCAATCACCGGAATAATTCCGCGCTCCATATACCGCGTATATCAACTATCAATTAAAATTGCAACAGCAATTTTCCACCAGTAATTGGCCATGCACCATTCAACCTAACAACTCTGCACGGCGCACTAATTAACAACGACGACAACAAGATCATCAACAACTAAAAAAATTGTTTTGTTCTTTTTTTTTGCAGAACCTGAAGAACCAAATTATGACGACGAACTTATGGGTGGAGCAGGTTAGTGGAATTTGCAATTCCGTTCGAAGAATATTCTTCAGGATTCCTATTTAAACTGGCATCCGCTCTCGGATTCTTTTTAGTCCTGGTACGATTACAAATTGCGATGGGAACCGAAGGAATATGGTGGAGTTCATATGCTGCACGTGCCATCAGATCACATCTGGAGACCCGACATCGTCCTCTACAATAAGTAAGTTGCACAATAGTTTCCACTTCATCTTAATTCAAATATAATAAATATATTGTTTCTATTCAAGCTAATTCAAGATTAATTATTCACTTTTGTTTTGATTAATTATTTATTAATTTTATGGATAAAATATGTAGTTTAATCATTTAGTTTTAGATACTTACAGGCTAATTAATCGAAGATTCACAATAATTTGGTGTATTTAATCATTTTTTTTATTTTTATTTTAGTTTTATTTAGGTTTCACGTAACTTCGAAGTTGAATTCGAAGAGAAAGTTATTGTCTGGTATACATTTAATATTTAAAATAAATAACTTGAAACACGAAGAAAAATATTGATTTTGAAAATCAAACATAAACTCAAAAGTCGAACAAAACTTCTCAAAACGTCTCAAATTTAGATAATTTGTAAAGGCAATTAGTTTATTTATTATATAATATATAATAATATAAGATTACTTTCTATATGTTGAATTTTTGATATGTCATTAAAATGTAAACTGGAAAAAAAGATAAAATTTGGTTTTGAAACTCGAACAAAAACTCTAAAGTAAACGGAAGAAAATCTAAATACATTATGGAATATATTACCTTTTATGTATAAAAGCATTAAATGTACACATTTACTACTCCATATATACAAACAAATTTAAAATTCTTTTTTTTTTGTAATTTTGTTGATACTTTTACTAATATGTTGCAGCAAGTATATATTATATATATAGTATATATTGTTTAGTAATTTTATTACATTTAATACAAATAATAAAAAAAAATAAATACTTATGTTTTCATAATATGCAGGATATTAAATTTGAAGAAAACTTGAAAGTCGAACGAAAAATGCTTTGACATGAATGTTATATAAAAAATCTGTTTATGTATTATATAAGATAAGGAATTTGCGCCTTTGATACATTACTTGAAGATTATGTCCTTTTGATGCGTTTCTCACATAGGAGCCGGCAATTTTCCGGTTTTCGCACTTTGCAGGCTTGTGTTTTCAAGGGACAAATTGAATTTTAATTGGGATTAGATTGCGCACGAGCGTGTCTCCTGACCCTATCGTCCTCACATCAGGGATCCTAGCACATGTTTTTTTGTGTTATTGATGCATGAGAATATTTGCTTTGAAACGGAGCGGAAATCCAAAGTCAACTAGGCCATAGCTATGCAAATTGGAACGTTCCAACAGCTGCGTTCAAGTTAAACACATTTTTGCAAAGATCTTAAACCAAACAAACCGTCCTCCGCTTGAATTCACCGCCTCTAAAACAGAAATTATTACGTATAACGTCTAACACTCACCCATATGTTATACATTATTTTGCGCCCTTTTTTCGTGAGAGTTATGACGGGCTTGTGGTCATATAACTCACGAACTGGAAATGAGTACAAATGTGGCGGATAAAGTCATTCGGTAATAAAACTTTTACGCTGTGTAATATTAAAGGGAATCGCTTCAAGGCGGACATGGATGAACCGAAAAAAAAAGATATATAGAGAGAGAAAAGAAACGCATCCCTTGCCAGGATTAAGCTGAATGGATTATTTCCAGTTTAAGGCCCAAATTCTCGGCTCTGTCTCATCTCTCGCACTCTCTGTTCGGATCTTCGTTGTGTCGGCGTTGCCTCGAGGCACGTTTTATGAAAATTTATGGAAATCTTTTATGTATGCGCCATCAGCGAAACCACTCCAGATAACCCAATATTGACTTAAGCGTGGTAACAAGTAATGCATCTTTATCCACATATGAAAAGGACACGCCTGGCACATTACCGCGAGATTTGTCTATTTTTCTTTAACAAAGCCACCATGAATCAATCTTCAGCGAATAAACCACATTCTTTTCAATAAACCAACTCATTTTTGTATACAAAAGTTTCAAAAACTTTCATCTTTTCATGTCATTTCTATTTACTTACAATATTATACAATTTGATTAAGAATGTATAAATTTTATAAGGTAAAAAAATACACAATTACAATAATTCAAATTTTTTGTTATAAATTCTTCATAAAATTAAAACCAAAATTTTGTATAAATACTAAATTTAACTATGGTCTTTGATTACTTTTTGAAATAATACATATTTTATTAAATGTAAATGAATAATACAATTATAAGCATATATTTTCTATCATTTGGAGCTAAAAATAAAAGATAAAATTCATTAAAAAAAAATGATGGTATTATTAATGCATTATTTTAAATTGTTAATATGATAAAATTAACATGTTAAAACTTTACCTTTCACATAAAATACAATGGTGATAATCCCTTTATATACCAAGTTATAATGTAGAACTATAGCTTTAACTACCTTGTAAAATATCTAACATGGGTGGATTAGTAAGTTTGGGACTCTATAGGGAGTTATTCATTTTAATTTATAATCCAATAATCTCACTAAACTAATAGTGTCATTATTTTGTTAGATGACAATTTTACTGATTATAGTATATAAAATATAAAAAGTTACTTTACTGAACATGAATGTACCGAAAAACCTCACATAGTGCGAGTAATCAATTCCACCATTAACCCGCACTGTTTGAAACCAACTAATCACGGATTTAATCTATATTAAAAAACAGAACAATAAAAGACAATTTTGTAGATATTTTATTCAAATTTGAATTGAAATTTTCTAACCGTACTATAGTGAATCAATATTGTTTGAATCCGCACTATGCGAGGTATTGCTTTAATTAAGCTTAATATAATTTTTATTAAATTTAAAAAATATTATTTTGTCAAAATATTTCGTATATTTAATAGGAAATGTATACATTTACCAATTTAACCAACATATTGAAATGTACACTCTTGAATAGGCAGTTAAATTATATTTTAAAATAATGTTGATGAATTGTTAACAAAATGTTTATGTTAATATTTATGTTACAACGATTATTTTCTGGTTGATTGTGTATAAAGTAACTTCCGATTGATAATCTATATAGTTGTTCATTTCACATCACGTCGTACTGTAATATATTGAATTGGAACTTTTTTTCCTGTACAAAATTCACGACGTTTAAAATTTAAACGTAGCTTTTGTGTACATGCCCGTCCGCATGTCGAATTCCATTACGTTTTATTTATAGCTGCAATTTTCGATAAATCCTTGCGAGTATAACTTTTCCGCCACGGAAAGTGTGAGCTTTAATTAAAAATCTATACTGAATAGTTGCCAAGCAAAAATCGTAAATTTCCTTCCACCAATAACAACAACAAAATGGTGCATAAACATCAGCAAGTTATGTTCAACTAAACCATACTTTCAGGTATATTCAAATTACTCTCCTTAACAAAAAAAAAAAGAGCAATCGAGTGCGTATATTGTGAGAGTTCCATATTGCACAGATGGTTCCGGTTTTTGTCTCGCAACAAGAAAAGAAACTTCAAAAGGGAATGAAAAATCTCAAGTGTGCGTATAAAAGTTTTTCAATTCTTCACGTTTCTTTCACTCGACTTGCGAAAAAAAGTTGAAAGTTCGACGGAGTTACGTAAAAGGGAGATATTTATTATTTCTCGCAATTTGAATAGATGAATATTTTCTCAATTATTAAATAGAAAATTTGTTTTCAAACTGATTATTTAATTTAAATATTTTTTTTTACAGAGGAAGAAAAGTGCAGAACTTTATTAAATTATTTACTTTTTATAACGTTTCTTATTACATTCTTTATATTTGTTTTGTCCTGCGAGCTTCAATATGTATTTGTTTCAATATATATTTCTCATAAAATACAAAATATTGTTAATTTAAGTAATTATTACTTAACAAACAAGAATTATAATTTAATTGCAATAGTAATTAATCAACTATTGAAATTTGATTGAAGACTTGGCTTGCGTAACAATTAATTATGGTTCTGTGCAGAAGTTCTTGAATCGACAATAATTCATAGTCGATATTACATCTCGTTCCTGGAGAGATTTGTGGTTGAAACATTATTGGAGACAGCACGGTGTATAATGATCCACAAATGCACAATTTAATCTGTAATTACTGAGGCGAGCAAATGGTCACGTAGTTTATATAAACTATTATGTAGTAGCAAATTGTTAGTAACAATTAATTATTTCATATTAAAACAGAAGAAATATACTACATCATAATAACACAAAACAGACCAATCAATATGAGGTATTTCCAGATTAATCTTCAATGAATCATTTACATTTTTATCAAATATTAACTTCGAAATACTATTATCAAGAAAAAAGAAAGCAACTAATATAGGTATTTTCATAATAATTATTATAACCAGAAGATTAACCAGGAAATAAAGAGAAATCAACCAATATGATGTATTTTCTATAGAAAAATCTTATAAATCTTCATTGAAGATTAACCTATAAATACCATTATTAAGATTAAATGAGAACAACTACTATCAGGTATTTCTAACTTAATTTTCAATAAAGATGAATATGTTTCATATTTATTAAAGATTAACCTAGAAATACTATAATTAAGCAAAAAGAGATCAACTAATATCAGGTATTTGTGGGTGAATCTTCTATGAAAGTAAATCTCCTATATCTTACTTCAATATTATCCATGATCCAATTAATACTTTAAACTTTAATGAATATTAACCTAAAAAATACCTTCATCAAGAAAAAAGAGAGCAACTAATATTAGGTATTTTCAGATTAATATTCAATGAAGATAAATCTTTTACATATCCAATAAAGATTAACCTAGAAATACCCCAATCAAACAAAAAAAGATCAATTAAGATTAATCTTTTATGAAGATAAAACTCTTATATCCATCTTAAAGATTAATCATAAGGTTACCATTATAATGAAGGATAATATTGAATCCTATGTATAGATTCATAGGATTCAATATTATCCCTCATTTAGCTAGAAATACCTTCATCAATAAAAAAAGGGAGCAACTAATATTAGGTATTTTCAGATGAAGATGAATCATTTACATCTGTATTAAAGATTAACCTGGATATACCAGCATCAAGT